CAGTGATATATGCCACTAAGTAACAGACATGCATTTTCTATTAAGAAATGATATTGCTAATATTAAGAAATTATTTTGCTGAATGCAAAATTTTCTAATTTCAAAATTCTACTGCATTTACAAGTTAAAATAAACACATCTTTAAATACTACTGGTTTTCCCCCATCTTTTTTTATTTTTCTTTTGAGAGGGGTAATAAAATGCAATTCAAAACAGTCAAGAATTATTTAAGACTTCTGCATGAAGTGCTGAACCTGCTGTTCAGTGTAACCTGCTGTTCAGTGTAACCTGCTGTTACACTGTTTGGGTTAAGATTGATAATATATAGCTCTTGCTAGACAATACTAGACTAATCCTAATGGTAAATGCTTCTGTAAAAACCATCACTTTGTGTTACAAAAATATCACAGAAGATAACATGATTCACCACAGAAAAAGAGCATGCATACTGGCAGCAGGTATCCTAAAGCATATGTTGAAAATCCAAAAGCCTCCCGAAGTGAATTAAATGAAAAAGCAGGCTTCCAAAACACATTTTTGGTGTGTGCTCCGGCTCTGACAAAGTGAAAGCATGCAGAGTACAGACCAGCAAAGCATCCAACACCCAACGCACTTTCCTCTCTCCAGAGTCTTTCTGAACTAAGACAAGTCAAACAAATCCTTATTTACATTACAGATTTGCATTTTAAAAGTCGGGGAGACAGATTCTCTGGTCCTTGCTCAGAATCTGTGAAGTGTCCTGGTTAGTAGTATCGACCATGCACAGAGAGACGTCGTTTCTCCAAAGGCTTTCACCAGGAACATTTTCCAGTGCTTATTTCTAAACGTTGGCAGTTGTGTGTTGTTGCCATGATTATGATTATGATGATTATTACAGCTACTACTTTCCAATATTGCTACTAAGTGATTGCAAAGGAGGATTGATCCTTAAAGAAGCTGCTAACTGTGTAGCTTCCCTTCCAGCTTTTATCTATATATCAGTATTCTTTTGTTTAAGGAGAACTTTCTCTAAACAGACCTCACACAAAAGGTTTCAGTAATTAATGATGGATTCAGGCAATATAGCCATTCAAATATGGCTGTCCTCTGATCTAGAATGAGCTGATCAAATACCAGAAAGCTAATTGTTTCAGACACTGTATAGTAACCACTAAGCACAAATGTGAGCATCTACAACCAAAAGAGGTATTATTTTATGTGTTGGAAGACAGTCTCAAAATCTCCATGTGTCAAAGTTAGTATGTATAACACATAAGCTTTCCAAAGCAACCTCACTGCCAGGATGTATTTATGTGGACCTGTACAGCATTTTAAAATAAAAAACAGGTTAGTGTACTTGTTCTCAAACTTAAAGAAACAGTAGTTTGCATTTAAAATATAATTTGTGAAAAAGTACATAAGGAATGCAGCAGTATAGTTATGTCTTGGATATTCAGTGCTCAGCTCTGCTCTCAATGAAACAAATGGTTAGTTTTGTGCTGTCTCAGGGGACCAGGCTCCTGCCTGTACTAAGTAGGGACCTACAGCTCTATTTTGCATTTCTCCTTCCCTAAACTCCCCTACCTTATAAATAGTGAGAATACTTTTCCAATGACCTATCCAAGTTCATTCACCTCATCACCCATCTGCCTTGAAATAGTTATGGATTCCTTCAGAAAAATATTTCAAATAATGCCAAAGAGCTGCTAGGAGTTTTCTTCCTTCCAGTTTGACCTCAAACTAGATATACTACGAATCTCATCACAGTGCTCTCCATTTAGGATAAATTATTCTGGCTAAAAAACAAACAAACAAACAAATTTCTCTCAAAGCTTCACTTCCTTGGACAAGCAGGAGAGCAGGTGACACAAACAGCATGAAAGTAAATGCTGCTTTGCCACAGGTGATGGCACTTTGCTGCACAGCATGCTGAGGCTACAAAGATGCTTCACGGAACGACAGCCTGTGGTCTCAATCCAGCAAGTCCTACTCAAAAGAGTAGCCTTTACTCACACCTGAAACAGTGCTGAATTTAATAGGCTTGAAAGATGCAAACAAGCACTTCCAAGGGTAAAACAAGAAAGACTAAAAATAACAGCTGATAAATATTTTGCAATATATACCTGTACTGGACAAATGGACATTTCCTCCATATTTCACAAATGCAATTTCTAACATCCCTTTCAGTAGTGCTTACTGATATGAAAGCACTAAGGCACGGTATTTGTTGTTGCTTTTGAAGTGTAAGTCCTCACTGAATTCAACAGGGAGTAAAGCTTAAAAGCATTCTACATGAAAGGCTGTTTTTGATTCTTTGTTAAAACTCATTCACTTTATGAATGACAGAAATCTATACCAAAATTTAATCACTAATTCAGAATATTAAAAATGTTAAATGCTAAAACATTAAGATACAAATTAATTTTGGTGTTTTTTTTTGGTTTTTTTTTTAATCGCTGGATATATCTATTGCAGGAAAACATGGAATTTTTCCACATTTGTTTATGCTTTATACTTGTTT